GAGGTCCACTTATCGACTTAGAATACGCAGATGGCATAGTCCTGTTTGGTGAAGACACTGATAAAATGCAAAGTCTTCTGGTAGCACTAAGCAACAATGCCAGAATGTTTGGAATGCGCTTCTCTCCCTCTAAATGCAAGTTGTTGCTTCAGGACTGGTCTGTGTCAACAACTGGATTAAGGATAGAGAGTGAAGTAGTCGAACACGTTGACAACTTCACTTATCTTGGAAGTCTGATCAGCCCTAATGGGTTGGTATCGGACGAAATCTCAGCACGGATTCGTAAAGCTCGTTTGGCTTTTGCCAACTTACGTCACCTGTGGCGAAGGCGAGATATCCGTCTCACAATTAAGGGACGAGTATACTGCGCGGCAGTCCGTTCTGCTTTAATTTACGGCAGCGAAACATGGCCATTAAGAGTAGAAGATGCTCGTAAGCTACTAATATTTGACCACAGATGCCTTAGAAATATTGCTGGCGTCTGCTGGGATCACTGGGTAAGTAAAAGTGAGGTTAGACGAAGGGTATTAGGGAATGATGGTAAATCAGTTGATAAGGTTGTGAATCTTCATCGACTGAGATGGTTGGGCCACGTGTTACGTATGCCTGAACACCGATTACCACGTCGTGCAATGCTAACGGGTGTTAGAGTTGGTTGGAAGAAAGTTAGGGGCGGCCAAACCAAAACGTGGCATCAGTGCTTGAAGTCACTAACTTGTAGTTTGAGCCATGTTGGTAGATGCAGACTACTTGGTTGGGGTCTGCGTGACTTTCGTAACCAATGGTTGGAGACTCTTGGTGAAATGGCTCAGAATCGATTACAATGGCGTCGGTGTATACACTCCCTGTCTTCCCTTAAACTAAGAGATTAAAATCGCTTCATATCTTTCTTTCTACGAACTAATTCTTTCTTCCTATACTATATCCTCATCGCAATCTTTCTCTTATATATTACCACCTTTTACCTAACCACTGTTATGAATCCGGTGTTCATCTTGCTGTGCTAATGAGGTATGGCAACCTGGACCGATGCACATATGTGCCTGGTCCTACGTTTTAGCTGACCGATATCCACTGAAATTTATGGATTTATGCATGAACACCCGTAATTTATTAATTTCTATTCACTACTGGCTTTTATTTTAAAATGTCATTCAAGACTAGTTTCATTTATAATGCTTCACAATCCAGTTCGATAAAAAAATGCTCTCGTGATCGTATTCCTATAAAGATTATTTGTCGACATTAACGTCATTTACCCTTCGTTATTTTTATTAGAATTATTTTACATTAAGTGAATAATAAAGTGATTTTTGAAAACATGCAGTTTTTCATTAATGCTTAATTACTAAGGGAGTTAACTAGAAACGAAAAAATGTAAACAAACATTTTCTCAGCTAATACTTGATTGGTTGTTCGGTTTAACTGTTTTTCCATCTACTTAGTACTGTTTTCACTTATTGTCTGAATACACACTAATTCATCAATTATTTAGCAATCAACGACAGTATTGAATTAAGTTGATTATTTTTGATTGAATTTTTTCGCTTCGTTACGGACATTCAGTCAATCGTCTTGTCGGGTAGTTTTATCAGCATTAATGATTTTATAGCTGACATTCTAAAGACGGGTCTGCATCTACCAACATAGCCCAGACCAGAAGTTAGTGACTTCAAGCACTGATGCCACGTTTTGGTTTGGCCGCCCCTAACTTTCTTCCAACCATTTCCAATACCGGATAGCATTGCGCGTCGTGGCAATTGGTGGTTGAACATGTGCAATACGTCACCCAACCATCTCAGTCGATGAAGATTCACAACCTCACCAACTGATTTACCATCATTCCCTAATACACTGCGTGTAATCTGACTATTACTTACCCAGTGGTCCCAGCAGATGGGAACAATATTTCTAAGGCATCCGTAATCAAATACTAGTAGCTTACGAATATGTTCTGCTCTTAATGGCCGTGTTACGCAGCAGTAAAGTAGAATAGAGCGAACTGCCGCTCATTATACTCGTCCCTTATTTGTGAGACGGATATCTCGCCTTCGTCATAGGTGATATAAGTTGGCGAAAGCCGAACGGTTTTGTATCCTAAATTAGTGAATCTGCAAATAGACAGATACTAGTGCTTGTTGAAAGGATGGAATTTTTGCTTGAGAATTGTGTTGTTTGTTGTAGTTGATATAAATACACTTAAATTATTTGCAACATAGGCTACAGATATCAAGTGATAATTCATGTGTTAACCTTAAGCTGAAACTTTAATTGGAATACCAATAGCATAAAAATGTTTTATAGGTAATAAGAAGTAGTACCTATAGATTGTTTGATACGGTGTAAATTGACCACCGTAGGTTTGATAATTAAGGTTATGTAATTAGTCGGCTCACCAATTTAGATGGCTCATGGAAGCTAGATGTATGTACACTAAGTTCTCGTATGATAAACTTTTGCTTTTCGGATCAAATTCATTTTGTTTAAACTTTTTTGTTTTAACTGTTAAGTTTCTAAGAATACGTGGTTACTAAGTGTTATATCTTACGCCAAATTGTATGCTGTTAAAATTAACCGTCGTATAGTACCTGTATTGATATTCTTCTAATCTGACTCAGTGCAGTTAGAAGCTTTAAAAAAGATGACTTTATTTTAGGACCCCCTGACTTTAATTAAAGTTAAAAAAGCTAAAGCTAATCTGGAACGAGGAAGAGCAGCTGGTCCAGATGGATTAAATTCGGAGGTCTTTAAGGATGGTAGTCCAGCTTTAGTGATTAGGCTGACTAATATCTTAGCTGAAATATAGGAACTGGATGCAATTCCATCTAACTGGTAGCAACCACTGATTATCCCAATATATATGAAGGGGTCAAAATCATCTTTTGATAACCGCAGAGGGATTAGTTTGACTAACATAACACCTAAAATACTAGCCTCAATAATTATCCGGTGCCCAACAAAGACTCGTGAACTACAAACACGGGAAAATCAGTCCGACTTCAGGTCTGGTCCTACGTTGTATACGACTGATGATCATATTCAGTTTAATCCACTCATTAATTGAGTATATTACTCGTTCGTTAAAATTGAAAAGTTCACTGTTCTTTTTTCAACACTTTTCAAATGTAGTTTACAATATTTTCTACTCTCCCATTTTTAGTTATGATTTTCACCGAAGCTGTCCTACTTATTGCTTTGCTGTTTTTTTCCGTGTAACGATGATCATGGTGTTATGACGGGGAACATTGAATGACCTCTTTTATTTTAATAATTAAGTTGTTGACTGACAAGAAACTCAGTTCTGTTACTTTAGTTAGGTGTTTAGTGTATAAATAAAAACTCTTATTTCCTATTGTAAATGTTTGCACTCACTCGGTTCAGTCATATAAACGGATTATCAGTTTGAAAATTCATTTTATGTAATTCTATTATTATCAGAACGGTATTTTGTGAAGATTTTAGTAATTCAATAGTTGAATTCATGATTCAATTAAAGCTAGACCACCATGGAAAACCTGGAAGCACTGGACGACCGTTTCATCCTAGTATGGGTCTCAGCAGTGCGCATCCACGATCTCGCCCGCGGGATTCCAATCCAGGAACTATCGCTCTCGTGCTCGCGAATGCTTAGCCTGTAGACCATTGATTTTACATCTAATGGTGTTAATGTCTAACTTAAACCGATCCACAAAACTGCGCAACCGTCCACCATAGTCATCAGTGAGTTACTATTTCACAACAGACCTCGTTGAACTCCACTGGTTACGGCTTCTCACTAGAACTCCAGGAAATACCTCTTGAAGTCAGTCACTACTGAGCACATAATTCCTGGGTTGGAATCTCTCGAGCGGGATCGTGGATGCGCACTGCTGAGGAGACCCATACTAGGATGAAACGGTCGTCCAGTGCTTCCAGGTTTTCCATGGTGGTCTAGCTTCAGTTGATTCATGAATTCAACTATTAAATACTCCTATTAGTTCACTAGGTTACCATAACTTATATACCAACGTTATTTTAAGTGATACTGAATAGCACCGATTACTGGGGACTATTTTATAACATTTCTTGACATTGAAACATTTCTTACTTATAAATATTTATACGATTTCTTATTTTGGATTCGTCGAGCGGAAACTTTTGAGTCAACTTTCTAAATTAGTTTATTACCATCATATCTGAGTCATCATCTAGTGTTATCTTGAAGCTTTCGTTGATGTCTGTAGAGAAAACCAACATAAAACTGGAACGAAATCGATTCTCAATCCTAATTAATTTTCAACAGCTTCTTTACTTAATGTAAATAGTATATCCAGGATAATTTCATTTTCAAATTTATTCGTTGAATTGATGTTTTTGTAATCCATAATTTCTTAATTGCACTAGATTTGTTTAACGTAACAGAACACTATAAGAACTTTCGTCTAAATTTGATAGAATAGTTTCACAGTATTTGGGTGTCGAGTTGATGTGAGACAGTAAAGAACACTGTTGTTTCGTAAAATGGTTATCTTTTAGTTTATTATTTATCACTGGTCGTATATTTCCGAATTAGATGGTGACAAAGCAATTCCTCAACTCATAACTGAGTGAACATTAAAAGGACCTATTCCTTGACCGAATAAAGCAAAACACTGATATTTATTTACAAAAAACGTAAACTACTAACATGATTGTAAGTAATTCAATGTGTAATGATTAATTAGTTAAATATAAAGGCAAAGACTAATAATTCATAAATCTAGATCACTGATTATCGCTCTGCAACTTTCAGCCTATGGAAATAATTATCGATCCAGACTTTAAACCTGTTTGCTATACTGCTTAATTTCTTCTCATTCGACGATAATGGTTCACATTGACGTTTTGGATAGGTGTATGGTAGCTAAAAGTTTGTTGTACAAAATGACGAATTAATATCGGTAAACACAAAAGTAAATCAGTTAATCGGGGTGACTAAACGCCAATTTTTGTAAAAAATCCCTTTGTTTATGTATCTAAAGATTTTCCGGAACCATTACCTCTCATTCCTGCGACAATATGGACTCGTAAAGATATTGCAGAGTTCAAACGAGAAATTCTCGATGTACAGAAGGAATGTTGTATAAAGATAAATTCTTTAGCAACTGCAACAGTAAGTCTCACAATATATTTTCTTATTGATTTCATTACTTAGCTGGTCATTCTATGATGATTTGAGCTCGATACTTTGTGATACGTAAATGTTATACTTAATAATTTGTTAGAGAAATAAACTTGATTGTTTAATTTATAAATTCTATGAATCAAACTAGGCGCTAATCTTCTAGTCGAATTTTTCCTATAGTTATTACAGATTTCACTCGATTTTTAAAACTGAACCACTTCACTTTGTGACCTGAATGAATATTTTAAAATATCAAGTCATCTATCCATCCTTTATACCAACAGTTATTGTTGGGTAAATTGAAAAAAAGGAAACTGTTTAACTTGCACTTTTAAACTCAGAACTGAAGAAAAAAGGTTATCTTAGCTTAAGCTCTATATGTTTACCATACCGGATATCCATATGTTTGTATATGCTGTCATCAATGACTCGAGGCTTTTGAAATTCTGAAAAAGTAACTATATTAACAGTGATATGAATAATGTATATTGACAACTCCGCCAAATTCTAGGATCTCATATAAATATGGAGAACGGTCTTAGGTATTTCATTAGTGGTTTTAGGACATGCTGTTAGAATGGAATTTACGAATATAGAATATTTCTTGGTTGATTTTTCACTATTGATTTTTGGTACATTGGTTTTCTTTAATTTATCTCACAATATGAGCCAAGAGTATTCAGCCCGGATACAGATTGATTTTACATAACTAACTTTTCAGAGCGTATTTTCGTTAACTTTTTTCTACTCTACAAATGGTGTATCTGTCCCTCACTTTCTCACTACTTGATGCTTAGAGTGGACCAGGTGAAATATTTGGGTTGTCAGTTCATTTTATGTAAAAATCAAATACTATTTAGCGAATAAAATAAGAGCAGACGATAAACATACATCATCCTCTATTGCTAAACATAGAATTGAAATATATATATATATATATATATATATATATATATATATATATATATATATATATATATAATTATTAATAAAAAAAGGATTGTATCAACGGAAGATTGTGAAATGGTGTAAAAATTGACAGAAAATAACTACAGATGAACTATGCATAATCAGTATGAGAGATAAGTATCCACTTGGTGATCTTGAATAAGGTAACGAAGAAAATATAAAAGTGATGAAAAATTGCGGGTGGTAATAATTGATTAACAGGTATGAACAACTAACAGATATTTATAATAATTGATTGTTCAATATGCAAAATTAAAAATAGGTTAAAGACGTGGTAGAATAAAAGATTGAACATATTGTTGTACATATAGTTCAGACTTAAATTGATGAATTGTTTTTTTTTTTCTCGTCCACAAGATTTTAATTCTTATTCCTTTTAAAGTTAGATGTCCGACCATTTAAATGGTTTTGAAGTAAATTTTTAACAGGATTGAGTGATCTGTGTTGGCATAGTACTAGAAGTTGAGCTGTTCATTGGCATATATTCTTTCGATATCCAACAAGGGTAATTCTCAAAAATTCTTTTAGAAAGCTTTCGCTTATAGTTTACAAATAACTCCAGATTATTAGTTAGTTGTTAAGTGAAAGATTCATTGGATCAAAACTGGTTTGAGTGATGTACATAGCTATTTTTCATTTTGTAAAGATTTAATTTTATAAATTATCTTTTAATTTCTATGATTGTTAAAGTTTAATTTGTTTGGTTGTTTAGAAAATATGTGTTACCCTTAACGAGCTTCTATCATAAAACATCCCAAGGCAAGAAAATTATGTTCAAGATTGATATTCTACACCTGAAATTTCTTAACTACTAGTATTTATATGGTGGTTCTAATAGTAACAAAACGACGTTTATCTTAAGTATAATTAAATAGTAAGGACATCAAATAATTTATGGCGGTCATGTTCACTTTTGCACAAAGGCACTTGAATGTTGGATCGTTTTCCTAAATTGTTAATGAAGTAGTATAGACGATTTACGTTACGATTAAACCATATTGATCTAAATGTATGCAATACGCATTATATTTCTGAGGTCACCTGTGGTCACATCAATGGCTTAATGAGTTTTCTTAATGAACCAATATTTCAGCGGTTTAAAAATCCCAATAGAATATTCAAAAATGAAGAATATTTGAGCGAACAAGTATTTTCAATAACTTCATCATCAGGCTCTACAGTTATAAGTCCACAATTATCGTGATATTTTAGAAACGCCAAAATAAGACATGTATTAATGAATTTGACAATATTATATGTTAAAAATACTGAACGTTTGCATCTGTTACGACATATACACTTCAAAATTGTGTTATTAGTAAATTAGAAAGGTCATTTAATAAAGGGCGAATGATTCATAATAGTGTCAAGTCCCAATCAGTATAACAGCAATATAGCAAAAATGAAACGGAAATCGTGTAAATAGAATGCCTAATAGGAGAATTTCATTTTGTTAATTGAGGTAATGATGATAATATCAATCGTAATGATAATAACATCGCAAACATGTACCAGCATGATTACTTACTTACTTACGCGTTTTACTCATCGTGAAGGAACATAGACCGCTCATCAGCATTCTCCATCCAACCCTGTCCTGGGCAATCCTTTCCAGCTCATTCCAGTTCCTATTGATCCTTTTCACATCTACTTTTATTTCTCGACGTAATGTGTTCTTTGGTCTTTCTCTTTTCCGTTTCCCTTCAAAATTCCAAGTTAGGGCATGCCTTGTGATACAGTTTGGCGATTTCCTTATTCTACGTCCTATCCACTTCACATGTCTTTTCCTAATTTCCTCCTCAACTGGAAGCTGGTTTGTCCTCTCCCACAGAAGGCTGTTGCTGATGGTATACGGTCAATGGATGTTGAGTATCTTCTGTAGACAACCATTTATAAATACTTGTACCTTCTTGATGGTGATTGTTGTAGTTCTCCAAGTTTCAGCTCCGTACAGTAGAACTGTCTTGACGTTCGTATTGAAGATTATTATTATATTGGTTGACAGTTGTTTTGGGTTCCATATGTTCTTCCACTGTAGGAATACTGTCCTTACTTTGCCAATCCTTGCCTTTACGTCTGCATCAGATACTCCACATTTGTCGATGGCGCTTCCGGTGTACGTGAAAGATGCCACATCTTCCAATCAAGTGTGATTCGGTTGGTGTTCTCTGTGTTGTATTTGAGAATCTTGCTTTTCCCTTTGTGTACACTGATGCAGAAACTGCTGCTACACTACTTGTCTTCATCTGCATTTGTTATTGTGTATGCGACAGGAGGGCTAGGTCATCTGCGAAGTCCAAATCGTCTAACTGGTTCTGAACTGTCCACTGTACCCCATGTTCTCTCTCAGGTGTCGAGGTCTTCATAATCCAGTCGATCACCAGAAGAAAGAGGAAGGAAGAGAGTAGACAGTCTTGTCTGACTCTGGTCTTCACTTGGAATGTATCTGTCAGCTGTCTTCCATGCACTACTTTGCACTGTAGTCCGTCGTACGAGTTCGGGATCATGTTGACAATCACATAAACTCCTTAGTGTCGAAGAAGTTTCCATAACGTCCTCCTATCTACACTGCCAAATGTCTTTTTATAATCAATGAAGTTGATGTACAGTGACGAGTTCCACTCAACTGATTGTTCGACAATGATCCGTAGTGTCGTGATTTGGTCTGTGCACGACCGTTCCTTACGGAATCCAGCTTGTCGATCTCGGAGTTGGGCGTCTACTGAGTCTTTAATTTGGTTCAGCAACACCCTGTTAAAAAGCTTTCCTGGTACTGACAGTAGTGTGATGCCTCTATAGTTTTCACATTTGCTTAGATCTCTTTCCTTTGAAATCTTGATAAGGTGTCCTTCTTTCCAGTCCATCGGCACTTGTTCTTCCTCCCAAATCTTTTTGAATAGAAGGTGAAGCATGTTTGTAGTTACTTCGATGTCTGACTTCAGTGCTTCAGCTGATATATTGTCGGGTCCTTTTGCTTTCCCGCTCTTGATTTGTCTGATGGCCATTCTGATTTATTCCGTCATCGGTGGAGAGAAATCTATAGGAAGATCTGTATGTGCTGCCTCGATGTCCAGCGGATTCAATGGAGAAGGTTTATTCAAGAGTTCCTCGATGTATTCTACCCGTCTGTTCTTCTGTTCTTAAACCTCGGTGAATGTCTTGCCTTCTTTGTCCTTGACCGGTCTCTCTGGTTTACAATATTTCCCTGCTAGTTTCTTCGGTGTATCACACAACTTTCTCATATTTCCTTCTCTTGCAGCTTTTTCCGCCGTCGTTGCTAGTTCTTCCACGTATTTCTGCTTGTCGGCTCTAACGCTCCTCTTCACTCGCTTGATTGCTTCAGTGTATTCAACTCGTGCCTTGAATTTCTGTGCTCTTGTTCGACTGTTGTTGATTGATGTCTTCTTGTTCTACCTGTCTTGAATCCTGTCCAGTGTTTCTATAGAGATCCATTCCTTATAATGATGCCTCTTTAGGTCAAGCATCTCCTGACACGTTGAAGTTAATGCTTCTTTGATGCCTTTCCAGTTGTCCTCCATAGTAGTTTCTTCTTCCTTCGGTAGATCCTGTAAGGCTTGGAACCTGTTGTTGAGAGCTATCTCGAATTCATTGAGTTTTATCAGTATCTCGAAGGAAGGCTGTATTGAACCTTTGTAGTGCTGTTTGTCCAGTTGTCCAGGTCTTCTTTAGCTTCAGTTTCATCTTGACCACAACCAGGTGGTGATCTGGAGCTATATCAGCTCCTGTCCTGGTTCTCACATCTTCTATTGTCCTTCGGAATTTTTTATTGATACAAATATGATCTATCTGGTTCTCTGTGGTGTGGTCCGTTGAGATCCATGTAACTTTGTGGATGCCTTTGTGTGAGAATATTGTGCCGTCAATGACCAATTTGTTGAATGCACATAGGTTTGCAAATCTCTCACCATTTTCGTTTCTCTCTCCCAATCCATATCATCGCATGATATCACCATACCCGGTGTTGTCTCTTCCGACTTTGGCGTTTAAATCTCCCATCA